AATTAACGAACGATCAAGGAGTCTTAAGTGTCACTCGGTAGCGGGTAACCACACAGGAGATCAATACTCAAAATGAGGCAGAATATGATAAAAGCAGCATCTACGAGTAATGTCATCTTCATAGATCTTTCACTTGCGAATGATGCGAATTGCCCGGGTTATATTCGTAATATGCAATTCAAATGTAAACTTTAAATCAAAGGTTTCAACGAAGAGCTTCAGATTATCCAATGAAATTATTAAAACACCTTTCATCAGCAGACTTGGATACTGAAGCGACTGTGTTCTAGACCGACTCACAATCATTTCCTTGAACTTTGTAGGATTTAATTTCATGCCCCACCGAAAGCACAACTGAATTACCAGGTCTTGCAGTGAGACTGTCAACTATTATTTGCCTGGTTGCCGGAGAAGGAATATCAGCATAGAGAGAAGTATCATCAGCATATGCCAACATTTCATTAGTAATGCCAGACCACATATCGCTTATATACAAGATGAAGAGCAAAGTACCAGGGACCCTACCTTGAGGAACCCCAAAAGACATGGCAGTATGGGCTAAGACTACCATCAACATAAACACGCAGCTACCTACCAACATTTTATTAATAATGCCAGGCCACATATTGTATACAAGATGAAGAGCAAAGGGCCAAGAACAATACCCTGAGGAACCTCGGAAGACACACGGGAATACGAGATAAAACTACCACTAACATGATCACGCTGCTGCCTACCAGTTAAAAATTCGGTTAAAATAATCAAAAACTTATAATCAACTCCAACAAACTGCAACTTAAAAATCGAAGCTTTGTGATTAACAGGGTCAAAAGCTGCACTAAAATCCAGAGACAAGTCTTGAATCATAGCCCTTACCTAAATGAGACTATTTCATGCACCAACACAAGTAATGTATCATTGCAACCGAGTCCCTTTCTAAAACCAAACTGGAAGAAACGGTCTCAAATATACAGAAAAAAAAACGTTTTTCCTGCAAAAGTTCAAAAACCTTACATAAAAATGGTGTACTTGAAATAGGCCTATATTCAGTAGGTGAAGACTGTAGTGGGCCCTTGGAAATAGGAGTACCATTACAAAGCGTCAATACTCTGAAATGATCCTTTACGAAAATGCCTAAGATTACGACTAATTTAGGAGGTAATTGACTATGTAGCCTTTTTTAAATCAAAGGAAACAAGCCATTAGGGTCTACACCACATTCATCTAATTCTGATAACAGATACTTGGCAACGGGGGACATGAAAGAGGAAGCTCAACATTTAAACTTTGTTTTGAATTGCAACAATCTGCTAGGAATTTAGCTTTCTCAATCGGTCTATATGTAACACTGCCATTTAACTTTCTGAAAGTCGGGATAGAGGACACAACACCAAACAGAGATCCTTTAAGCGCTGACCATTTACGAGATGGTGACGCTTCGGAGAGAACTTTCAAATGAGCATTATAGTCAGATTCAGCCTCCTTATAAACAGTTGCTTTATTTTGCATTGTAACATAATTCACGCAACAAGGACAAACATGGTTGTCCCTATAAGCCTGGTGACACCGTTCAGTAAACCATGCTTTATCATGTATGTAGATAGATTAGATAGATAGATATGATGGATATACATACTTGCTATCTATTACTATATACTATTTTCTACTTATCTATTCTACCTGTCTATATGAGTGAGTTAGAGAGACAGACAGACAGTCACAGAGACAGAAAAAAGATAAAAAAAGTAAAATAAAACATGACGAAATAAGATTAAGATAAACTGCATTGGGCGAAGGCGGACCCTAAGGTTTCGGGTGTGAGTCAGGTGGGTGGAGCCGAGAAAGGGCGTGGGTGTTTTAAAGGGGAGAGGAGGAGCGGAAAACGGGAGAGGGAAGAGAGGGGGATAGAGAGAGGAGAGAGAAAAAAGAGATGGAGGGGAAAGAGGAGAGAGAAGAGAGGGGAGGGGGGGACAGAGAGAGAGAAAAAGAGATAGGAGAGAGAGGGGAAGAGGGAGGAGGAGGGTAGAGAAGGAGAGGGAGGAGTGGGGGGGGGAAGAGAGAGAAAAGAGGGGAGGGGATGAGAGGGGATAAGGGGGAGAGATTAAGGGGATAGAGGGGGATGAAGAGAGAGGGTGGAGGAAGAGGAAAGATTGAAAGAGCAGGGTAGATGGAGGAGCAAGAAGGAAAGGGGCAAGAGTGCCAGTTTAGTTTCTCTCTCTCTCTCCTCTCTCTTCCTTCATCTTTCTCACACACTCTCACACACTCACTCTCTCTGTCACTACTCAACCTCACTTCCCTCACTCTCAACACCACACCCTTCGATTTCTTACTCACTCATCACTCAATTCACTACATTTATTGCACTCAACACCACGCCCACTTATCCCTCCAACCAGTCATGCGCCAGTGTTATTGTCATGCGGCGTAATTTGCAACCGTTAAGTGGTGAAAAAGAGTCCACTCACTGCTAGCGGAAAGGCGCCTGGAGGTCGAGCGCTTAGTCGCTTAAAATAGCAAATTCCTGCTACGTTGAAAACAAGGAATAAAGAAATTTAAAGAATATTCCGGAAGTGAATAGGCAAACCGAACGGAATGTCTAATCACCATTTCTCATTGTTTAATTTATGTTCTGATGTAGATTTCCCCTCGCATGGCCCCCGATGGCCCCCGTCCCGCTAAGCGTTCCCAAGAATGTGCGTGAGGAAGAAAAAAGTGGTATTTCCGGGCCAATAAGTGTGTCCTAAAGAGAGAGAAGGTTGTCGTGTACGTGTGCGTGAGGGGAGGCAAGCAAAACATTGGGTGTCAAGGTGGTGTGTGTGTGTGTGTGTGTGTGTGTGTGTGTGTGTGTGTGTGTGTGTGTGTGTGTGTGTGTGTGTGTGTGTGTGTGTGTGTGTGTGTGTGTGTGTGTGTGTGTGTGTGTGGCATGTGCACTGTAATCATGAATGCATATTCCAATGAATGCATAATTAATGTATGTTTCTGTTAATTCATTCATGCACTTATTATTTTGTCCTCTTTGGAGTACAGAGATTGCCAGAGCTGTGGCAAACGGACGGTTTGTTAAGTAATCAATAGATGGCAGTGTGTTGCAATAACAAGGGCTTAGGAGTCTCTCGAAGAAGCAACAGTTTCTTTTATTTATTATCTTGTTTTTCTTCTTTTGATGATAATTTTCATCATTTACTGGCATTCGCAACTTTTTTTTCCTTCTTTTTTTGTAGGTTATATGAACTTGCTTCCCAGTTGAGAAAATGAACAGGGTTCTTCATATTTACACGGTTTATTTTGATGAATTATTTATTTTTTCATCACTATAATGTATATTGATGTCTTAGGGCAACATGGTAGATACTTTCATGTTTTGAAAGAACTGCAGCAACAAAAGGAATATTTGTCGTTCATTAGAGGTTTGTCTGCGTCATGGTTCTCCAAAGTACAGGTCACGAGGTAGTACATGTTCAATGGATTGTCACAATAAAGATGATTATAATAACAATAATAATGATAATATGTTCAGTGGGTCGCCACATAATAGAGATTATAATAATATGATAATAGAGCTTATAAAAGAAATTATAATAATTATAATAAAAGAGATAATAATACAATGATAATGATAACGATAATAATACTGATATCGACTTGAGAAAAAGGTAGATTGAATATACTGGGTCATGAGGGAAGTGTATAAACTCAAATCGGGTCATGATGAAAAAAAAGAAAATCCTTGGTTTATGTTGCTTGGCATCGTTGTTGAAACTTGGCGAGCCATTCCGTAGATTTATCACAAACTCCTGATATTTGTGCTTATGATTTTAGTTTTTACTTTTGACTGACTTCATTCCTTACAAGTAGTACGAAACAAGCGACAGTCACACGAAAGACGCAAATAGTGCAAGGCCGTTCTAGTCCCCGTTGATTCGTTGTAGAGAACAGTCGGTCCAAGTAATGTGTTAATTGTTGTAAAACCAGGGCATTCTTTCTCTCGATTTCCCCTAAAATGCTTAATATCCCTTTTTCACCCACTCATTGATCATTTCTCTCTGTCACACCTTCCTGCGACTCGACCTTCATGTAACCTTGAGGTCGTGAGCGCTCCAAATACTCGCATTATGACATACTTGAAGCATCAGGCATGTAGAGTCAATACATACACCGATGCTTCAGTCTCTCTCTCTCTGCCTCTCTTCTTTTCTTCTCTTTTACCCATTCCTGTCTTTTATTCTTCCCCTCCTCTCTCCTCCTTTCTCTCTTTTCTTTCCTTCTCCCGCTCTCGCTCTCGCTCCAGATACCTATAATTCAAAGTTCCCTCCTTTTAGCTTCCCCTTCCTTACACCTTCCTCTCTTCTCTCTCATCCACTCTCACTCCACCTCCTCTCTTCTCACCCTCCCATTCCACTCTCCTTCTTCCCTTCTTCTCCACCACATCTCCCCTCCCCCTCCTCCTCCTCCATCCCCCCTTTTCCCCTCCCTTAACCTCCTCTCTCCCACCCCTTTTCTCCATCCCCTCCCCTCCCCTCCCCACTCCTTTCCCCCCCCCCCCTCCTTTCTCCATACCCTCCCTTCCCACTCCTTTTCCCCTCCCCACTCCCCTCCTTCCTTTCCTTATACCCTACCCTCCCTTTCCCCTCCCTGTCGCCTCGTCCCACGCTCTTGGTCTGAGCATCGATCTGTTGGATAGATATCATTGACTAGAAAGTGTTGTTGATGTTGCCCGAACCAGAAACGGGAGGGCTACGTGCGCATATTTCTCTCTTTTCTTTCTCTCTCTCTTCTCTTTGTCTTCTGTCTCTCTATTTCTTCCTTTTTTGTTGTGTGTTTTTTTTTGTGTGTGCGTGTTTTTTTGTGTGTGTGTTCTTTTTCTCTCTCTCTCTCTCTCAATTTTCCTCTCTCTCTCTCGGGTTTCCTACCATCCTGAACTTAGCCTAACTTCTACCATAACCCCATTTGTACAATATTCTAATTAAATCAGACATTACAATCTTGTCTCTTTCTTCCAGGGCTCTGTTAAATAATGATCATCTCTTAATATCTCTGGAGAAAGAGAGAGAAAGAGAGAGAGAGAGAGAGAGACAGTGGCCAACGTTCCTCTGATATATGCTATAGATAGGTAAGTCTTCAGTGTGTTGTTACCTGCATGTTTTGACAATATTTAGGGGATTGTTATTGGTTTGATGTTTATATGAATATATACCAAGGGATATGGTTAATGAATATATACAGTTATATTATAACGAACGTTTTTCTGTGTGTTAGTCACATATACACAATGTATTTATGTTTATTGATAAGATAGATAGATAAATTAAATGGTCGATGTTTATGTATGTATATATATAAACGAATGAAGATATTTATTTGATCAAAATGTACAACTCAGTAAAGATAGATTATGATCATAGTAAAAGTGCAAATGATGATAATGAAAATTCGGTTGGTAATAATCATGGTAATTGTAGTTGTGGTAATGGTAGCATCGCCTAACCCCCGTCCTCCCTCAGGTGATGGCCCAGGGCGGTGATGGCAGGGTGAAGGCGAGGTCGTGAGCCGGCCAGCCCCCCTCCCCTGCCAGCCGGCTCCCCCTCCCATCCTAAGGGCCCTCATCCTCGAGGGCGCGACTTGTCTGCGGAATTTGCGAGCTGAGGACGTCGTCGGCTTCGTCTGTGAGAGCTGATCGAGTTTCCTTAGTTTTCCTTTATCGCTGAGCACCAGGAGCGGTTTCGAAGGCGAGAGCGCCCTGTGGAGTGAAGCGCGGTCTCCCTCCCGCCTCAGAGCCGACTTCCTTTCCCCCGAGCGCCCCCCGACGCCGCCACCATTGAGTCTCCGTCGCAGGAAACGGCGGGGTTGGGTCCCCTCGCCGAGCCCAAGAAGAAGACCAAATGGCAGGACACCCTCCGCTTCTACCTCACGGCGATCTTCACCCTCATCGCCTGCATCAGCTCCTTCGCCTTCCTGTTCCTCGTGCCCTTCGTGATCGACCCCGCCTTCTCCACCATCTTCGCCGACTTCGACCCTGAGCCCGTGGTGTGCGTCACCAAGGAGTCCGAGTTCTTCTTCGGCCTCAGCAACTGCTCGTGGTCGTCGTGCCGCGAGGGCTGCACCAGAGACATCTTCCAGTGCTCCCACATCTTCGTCAACTACAAGAAGGACACGAAGGGCGAGTTCAAGGATGTCAACTTCACCGACGTCGACCTGCTGGACGACATCAAGTGGGACATGGAGGACGCGCGCCTCTTCCCCAACGTGAAGGGCTGCGGCTACCCGCCCAGCGTCAACTGCACCACCTTCAACATGAGCTACAGCACCCCGGGCAGGACCTACCCGTGCTATTACTCGAAGGAGCAGCCCACCACGGTCCTCACGTCCCTGGACATCGAGGGCATCACCACCGACCTCATCTACGCCATCGTGATCCCGTGGGGCGCCTTCCTCGTGTCCATCCTGTACCTCCTCATCACGTACGTGGGCATGAAGAAGCCGGATTCGGACGGCGACGCCCCTCAGGAGGTCACGTCGGCCAAGGCGTCCAAGGAGGCGTCCAACTACTCCCTCAGGTCCATCGGGAAGACCATCAACCACGGCATGAACAAACTCATGGGGGAGCCGGACGACAAGGGGTAAGTGGGACGGCGTCGAAGCCTCTTCTTCGTTCTCTTGTTATCACACTTCCCCCTCCCTCCCTCCCCCCACCCTCCAAGCCAACCACACGACCCCCCTCGGACCCCCTCCCCCTGCACTCCTCTACAGCAGGAGATGGTCATGTGTTTTATAATTTTGTTTTTGATACACTATTTTTTTCTTCACTTGCGTCACTTCCTCCTCTGTGATAATAATTCAGAAACCAGATTGCTGTTTTAAAGTGAGCGACAAAAAAAAAATTCATGTTACTTATACTGAAATATAATTCACTTAAATAATCCATGCCATTTATTAATTAAAGAGAAATAAATTCTATAAAAAAATGTATTTATATATATTCGTATATATATATATGTTTGTGTGTGTATATGTATTGATCTATTGAATCTAACCCGTTTCTTAGTCACCATGTAGTCACCCCAGGAAGCCCACCATACATACCTGTGTAGCCAACCTCTAGTCAATTTCTTCTGCTTCCCCATAGTAATGTTTGAACACTCAATTCCCCTCCCTTCTTCCCCCTCCCCTCCCCTCCCCCTCTCTCTCCCCCCCAAAAAGCATACAGGAGTTCAACTCGATAACTTTGCGTTGTCATTTGTTTTGCTGGGTCATCGAAGACAAACGAAAGCTGAGACCTTGACAGAAGCCGAGACAGTGAGAGAAATACGAAGATGTGCAAAGGGAAACGGAATAATCATTATATAAAAAATATATATATTTCTTTATTCATATATATACAAAAAAAAAACGTATTTACGGGAAAATGGTAAACAAAAGGACCGCTTCTAATCTGCATTAACAACTCTCTTGCATTGCAGAACATTTGTATGACCTGCGTTGTGTGTTCTTGCGAGGGGTGTGTTAAGCAGAAGGTAATTAGCTAAATGTTATAGTTATATTCATAGAAGTAAACTATCTCAGTATCTGACGTTCTCCTTTTCCTCGGTAGCGCCAATGGGGACAGAGAGGGGAACTTGTGCTTCAACTTAAGGGGACTTGGCATGCTACCCCGCCGTCCGTTCCTAAAACTAGTAACCGCAGCAACAGCCGCAGCAGCAGCAATAGTAGTGATATCTCTTCCTCAGTAATTTTGCTTTTATAGTTCTCCTGTTTTTTTTTCATATTTCCTTTTTGAGCGCAATGTTAGAAAGAGTTACTTCTACTCATTTCATTTTTTAAGAATCTCTTTTGCTGTTGTATACTACGCAGCACACTTCAGAGGGGATATTATCCATAGAGGATTCAGAACATATATATACTGTACATAACGCGAGGCTTGGAAGCTTTAAGGAAGGATGAACCAGCAAAACAAATGACGATCGTTGATCCCACTTGTTGCTGGAACAGATAAGTAATATCTGAACCCTATTAAAAACAAATTAATTATGATCACAATATATAAACATAAAAAAGAGACTACTTAACAGAGAAAAATGATTTGATGTTTTGCAGTGGTAGGGATTCGGGTACATGCATTCACCACCGAAAGAAAGGCAAGAGGGAGTAAATCGCCAGAAAAAAGGGGGGGCCAAAATCAGCAGACACTAAGGCCAGGTATGGTTTGTGGATACCAGTCTCACCCCCTCCCCCTCCCCCAGTCCGACACCACCTCACCCCCCCACCGCTTTGAAAGTAGTTGGAAACCTAAACCTAAAAAGGAAGAACCAAAGATTTTTTTTTTACCATACGCGTGCACGCCTTCCTCTCTGCATGTTACTTAGATTTCCCTCTTTCTCTCGCTCTCTCTTTCTTGCTTTCCCTGCTCCCTCTTTTTCTATTCGAATCTATCTCTCGGCTTCTCTCCCTTCTCTCTATCTATCTATCTCCCTCCCCCCTCCCTCGCTTTGGTTTTCCCCCTGCATCTTTGTCGTCCTTTTTTTGGTAGATTTCCTGCAACGAAAGCATTCCTCTCATGACGTAGTTGTGGCGCATGTCTACTCGGCGTAGGCAAGGGCACTCCCTCTCCCCTTTCGACACCACCAAGACACAAAGCATACCTGCCTCGTCTATGTCAAAGGCATACGTAGACCTTGCTATCTAACGTGCCTAGGCCTAGCGAACGGTAATCTAAAGCCTTTCTTTCTCAGAGCATTGTAACCACACGGTATCTGGGAGAACTCGGCAGAGAGGTCCCCTTTTGCTTTCCCTGTTAAGACATGTAAAAGAAGTATTTTTTGTCTATTTCTCTGATAGATTCAATATTTTTTTCTACTTCACGAAAGAAGAAAAGAGAAAAAAATAATAATAACCATAGTACTAGAGAAGAAGAAGAAGAAGACCAATATATATGTGAAAAAAGATGTTCCCCAAGTCAATATTCAGCACCATTTGCTTTTTCCGTCGTCACGGCTGTATGCACAGTGTTTCTGATTTTGCAGTGTTGAATATCTTGATTGCGCATTTCATTGCACTTGCAGCAAGCACTTGAACACCAAACAATGCCTTTTCGTTGTCACTCTCTCTTTTTTAATCATTATTTCTCCACCCTTCTGTCTCATCAAAACTTTATGTATCCTCTTTTAATTTCCAGGTCTCTCTCTCTCCTATCTTACGAAAATGATTATGACATTGACAATGACTCTAGCTATTGAAGGGACGAAGTAAGTGTTGGCATCGCAGACACTACTAGCCTGCTTGTGTGTGCATGAAGGGCGGAGGTCTTATGCTTCTCCCCGTGTCCAACAAAACCAGGAATGGGTGTATCGAGTACTTGATGTGGAGCATGGTTGCTGCACCCTGGCTATAGACCCTCTTCCTCCCTACATCTTATATATATATTACATTCTTAAGAAAAAATAAGAATAAAAAAATGGACGTTCTTTCATGATAACCTACCATCACTATTGCGGCAGGAGTTCCAAGACAAGATCGTTGAGAAATGCCGTAGAGTAATGTCAATAGATAATGATAGTGAGAGAAAATCTCCTGAACTAGAGGCAGTACTAGTGAAGGTGAGGTATTGTGACAGATTCCTCCTCCAACTGACGCACAGGTCGACTGTCCCACCCTCCTCGACCTCCCCCCACCCACCCACCCCCTCCCTCCCTGCTTTTAATATCTTTCCTCTGGTCATTCATTCATCCTACTTCTCCTCTCTCCCGCGATTCCCCTTCTCCCTCGTTTCTCGGTCTTGCGGAGAGCGCCCCTTCCCTGTCCTCTCGCCTCTCACTGCCCTCTGCCCCTCCACCCCGGAGCCTTCAAAGGGGAAGGTGGGACCATTTCGTACGTACAGTTGATGCTTCGGGGAATGTAAACAGTAACATACAATGTATATACATATATGAACATACGGTAGCCCAGTTCTGTATTACGTGTCCTGGTGAGTAGATTTTGGGTAGCATCTAGGTCAATTGAGCTTTAAGTTATTTGTAGAAAGGATAGTAGATAAAATGTACTTTTTGTCTGACGTCACAAAATGTTCGCATCGCACTTAAAACGTTCCAGGAGTCTTTTATTTATTTTTTAAATCTCTACCTTTCTCATTTCTTGAAAAAAAGGAAAATCTTCGCGAATTATGATGCAAACATTTTGGGATGCATTATGACTTGAAATTTTGAGATACTGTACGGTACATAGGTTTCTGTAGAACGAGTAACACCTTGTACGGTACATAGATTTCTGTAGATTGAATCTGATGGGCCATGTATGACTGTACATATAAGGGACGGATTGGTCAAATTCTTTGTTATGCAAGATATGATTTCCTTTTTAATACATTATTTTTACTGTCCACGGCAGTACATAGTGAGACGAATCTCTGCTTGATATTATTATCATTTTATATCATTTTATTAATAACAGCTTGGTTTGTTTTGGCCTTAACATTTCTACATAAAAGAGATTGATACCAGAGTCGAGATCTAACTAGACCGGTGGCCTCGGACCTAGAATTCAACGGCCCTGCGGCTCTTAAAATGCTTCACGATTTACCATAGTTTGTAAAGTCTAGTTATTTCATTCTTAGCATGCCGGAATATTTCAAATTCTAATGCAGATTTAATAAGACTTTTTTCCTGATACTGCATGACTAAGAAATTACTTCCATTCATTTTCTAAAAGAAAAAATATATTTTCAGGTTAAAAAAAAGGAAGCAGATATATCCATATTTTTCCTTATTTTACAAGCCCTTCATTTATCACTACTATTATCCTGTAGAGAATTGTTGTAATGGTGACTTCAACAGTGTTTAGTAAAGATGCACCAGTGACATTTGATGAGATGATTGTAGTTTGAGGTCCTGGTATTGTAGGTTATGTCTAATGTAGGCCTGTAGGAGACTGCCTTTGGAACTGCACACGTTATTCTAAAAACAAGGGCGGATGATGCCAATAGCTGTTTTTTTTATTATATATTTATATATTGAAATATGTCATAATAACTGTGTAGAGATTAATTTTCATGCCCCAAGACTTTCTACTTTGTCAAAACGGGTTGAGAGGGAAACAAATGAAATAAAAACAAATGATAAAAAATATAAAATATCGCGATACTCTTCCTAACTTATTGTTGTAAAATTGATGTTGATGTCGTTTGGTGTTGACGTGGATGTTGTTGTGTGGTAACGGTGGTGTTAATGGTCTAGCGGGCATGGAGGTAATGGACGAGGCGGCGGCGGCGGCGGAGGCCTGAAGCAGCGCACCCTCACCTCGCCCTCCATGCTGGGGTCCAACTTACTCCTCGTTCCCGCGTCGCTGCCCCAAGTCCACCCGACCCGGCGCTCGACCCTCCCGCCGCTGGAGAGGACGCCGCCGCTTCCCCGGCCCGCAAGGTGATCCTCCACGCCCCTCCTCACCCCCTTCCTCATGCTCCTCCTACAACTACTACTACGACTCCCTTTCCATCTACTCCTCTTCCTCCCGACACCCCCCCCCCTTCCTCCTGCTTCTACTACTACTACTACCTCTCCACCTCTTCCTCTCTTTCCTCCTCTCCCTCCCACTACTACTACTGCCTCTCCCCCTCTTCCTCACTTTCCTCCTGCTCCTCCCTTTCTTCCTCCTGTCCCTCCGCCTTTTTCCTCCTGCCCCTCCCTCTTCCTCACTCTCCTCCTGCCCCTCCCCTCTTCCTCACTCTCCTCCTCCCCTCCCACTCTCCTGCTCCTCCCCTTCTTCCTCACTCTCCTGCCTCCCCCTCTTCCTCTCTCCCTCCTGCCCCTCCCCTTCTTCCTCTCTACCTAACGGACTGCCTGCCCGAAAGTGCCTGACTGACTGCCTGCTTGATTGGTAGCTCGCCTGCTTTGCCTCCCTCCCGGTCTCCTCGCCTGGTTGTCTGCCTCGAAAGGGTAAAAGGCTTCAAGCTGTCTTCATCTGTCTTGCACGTTTTATCTTTTATTCTCTCTCTCTCTCCCACTGAAGCGCACAGACTAATTGTACCGTGTTCCCTTCCTCACTTCCCTTTCCTCTCGCCTCCCTCTTTCCCTCACCGACCTCCGCCTCACGCCCCACGTTCCTACCTTATGACGCACCTTCCACCTTTTTTTTAACGGTTTCGCATGAAATTATGATAATTCAGATATCTTCGGAAATCTCTCCTGATCATGCCGTAGATTAGAATAGATTTAGAAGAAGAAAAACATTTAAAGAAAACAAGTGTGTATTTGATATTTTCTGATCCACGTCACTCCTTAATGTCGCTTCAACACTACCCTTTCCTTGAATGTTGTTGTGCTCATTTTCTCGAGTCTCTCAGCAAAAAAAGGCGTGTTTATTAAGACGAATTGAAGTCGTTTTAAGAGTTAAGACAGTCATATAGCCTTGACGCTCCAGCTGTGCAGAAAATGAACGCACTTCTCCCGCAGTAGAACTAGACACGAGGCATAATGACAACGGCAGCTGTACGACACTTTATCTTTCCATGTACGACAGCGTGGACGGGATCACAGTGCAGATGACTATTTTCACTTCTCAAAAAAGCTTAGCAATAAGAAATATGTATTTTTGAAAGTATTTTTTTTTTTTATAGTAGACTGAACTGATCTTTTTTCTTACACTTTTTCCCCCCATTCTTATTCTTAAAAGGTCACGGTGTGTCTATTTTTTGGGTCTAAATTGTGATATTAGTTCCTTGTGTGAGTTTGTTTCCCTGAATGTCACCTACGATTTTTAGTTCCACTTTTTTTGTATTTTATTCCCCACTCTCTTCATCAGAGGTTTTTTTCCACTCCTGTTGTATTGTCGTGCATGTTTTCTTTTATATATCTTGCATCATACTGTAATTAACGTCTTTTCTCTTCTTATATAATAAATTGCTCTCAGATCTCTTAAAAACTGTCATTTGTTGGTGTGTGTATTAATGACAAGAGGTATGTATGTATAAACTTTTTGTAGGATCTAGTTATTCTATTACATGTGCTATATCTTGGACTGCGAAGATTATACATTTTACCTTTTGCAGTTTTATAATGAATTTGATACGGAAAAATCATAATGTATAAATTAAAAATATTGTAGTTAGTGTAGTTCAAGTAATAACTTATTTCTGAAATATTTCATGATTCATTGGTTGAAGTAAAACACACAAACACACACACACACACACACACACACACACACACACACACACACACACACACACACACACACACATACACACACACACCAAATCAATCTCAATGTTAATGTTAGATAAAAAAAAAATCATGCATTAACAAAAGCAATTGAAACCAGTAAAGATAACACCGTTGGAAACATTTTACTAGCTTTATCATCACCTAAACTTGGTGTAGGATTAATGTTTTCTTCCTTTGCTAAATATTGTTTGGTTTACTGTATAGGTAGTCCTACGTTATGTGTACTTAAAACATACAGTATATATATATATATATATATATATATATATATATATATATATATATATATATATATATATATATATAGCACTGAACGAAGTGAAGTGAATCTGTTGGTTTCGATAGAGGCCGCTGTCAGTTCTGCTATCATTTGTTTGTGGATTCTTTGTTTTGTCTTTGGTCCCGCGGTCTCTTTAGGTTATTGCTGACATCCATCCCATCCATCCATCTCTCTCTCTCTCTCTCTCTCTCTCTCTCTCTCTCTCTCTCTCTCTCTCTCTCTCTCTCTCTCTCTCTCTCTCTCTCTTCTCTCTCTCTCTCTACATATTTACTTTTCTTTTCTATTTATCTTTTTCACTCATCGCTACGTATATCTAAATTCCAAAGCGTTAACGTGGCTCGGCTCAGGTTGTATTTATTTTTTTCTAGAGATATTGATATGTTTACGAACATATTATTCCTTTCAGCATTGAGGAACGCCTTTATAACGCTTGGTGAAGGAAAGGTAACTTATTTTTTTCATATTTAACCAATTTTATCCTATTTATAAATGTAATCATTCTGACTCTTCCTAATATTTGGCTTGAGTGCACGACCAAGGTACACAATTTCTGGAATAAAAAAATATCTATATATAAATTAAGCAGCATGGTGAGCAGTGTTACCAAACACCTTTCCCACTATTTTGCATCGCGAGCTCGGGTTTTTTTTACTTGGTATCACTAGTCACTTTCATTTTCTTAAAAAAAATGCGTGGTTTAAATGCATATCTTTTGGTCTTTTACGCATTTTTGGGCTGTTCTATGATTCAGTGGGTAGGAAATGCGGAATAAAAATATATATGGGGTAAAACGGTTGTTAAAATTCAGTTGTTTTCATTTATTTTCAAAATTCATAAGCGCTCGCGGCTTGGAAATAAGGGTTACCAGTAACTGCATTTATACATTATTTACTTATCGGCTTCATAACAAATGCTTTCACACACTGACCCCTATGATAAATAAGATGAAACAGATCACGGTTTTGTGGTGCGTTAGTCTATTCAATTAACCTTAAAATTTTCGTATATCAGAAACATCGGAATCATATTTCTCACGCGTGAAGTGTTCAGTATTTCCGGTATAAGAGGTAATTCGTGTTCGGAAGTCGAAGTACCGAACATGGCGAACAACGTGGGATACTAAAGAAAAAAAAAACGGATGGTAACAGGATTTAACCTTAATTATAGAGTAAATCATTGGGTTTGCTACTGAAGTTCACCCTTTTCTTGCAAACTGCTGACAAAATTCACTTTGCATTGGAAGAGTTGTGTGTAAAATATCACAATCTGCTGGGGATAGAGTTTACTTCGCTGTGGCTATAAATATGCTTTAATTAATATAAATATGCTTCAATGAATATTTCATGTCCATGTTATCTTTTTCCCCTTTTTAATAATTTCAAACGACATTTGTGCACAGACTCCCAGACTAAGGTGCTCTACGCTGAGTAAATAGTGTTCTATCTTTAAAATAAGTCAAAAACAGGTCTTGGAAATGGAATTCGAAAACAAAAATACAAATAAAGGTTCAATTTTCGTTACAGCCCCTAGAATGTGCACATCATGTGAGACTCATAAATTAGACGTGATATTGGTGCCAAGTTTCCACAGTAAGTGAACTCTCTCTATTCTCTTACCCACGCGCACATGTGGAACTCCATGGACATGCATATTTACAAGGCACACTGTCAGAGCATGTTTACCAACGGCAAGAAGGGTTCTCTTTGTTATCACTGTTATGATGGCCGGTCCAATGGTTATGCTTATCTAGATTATAGATGTAAATGAAGTCAGCTGCATGGAAGAGAGCCTTTCGTATGCACAATCACACGAAGCAATAAGTGAAGAATATAATGGCTAAGTCAGTTTCAAAGTTCATGCACATTTCAAGAAAGGAAAAAGAACTTAGTATAGTTTTTTCTAATGCAAATAACTATACATTTTCTCACATGCATGGTCGTCATCCATTTCCTTTCAACAGGCAAGTGGCACCAGCAAGTTAACAATGGCAGATCTCTGAGACTACATGAACTAGCATTTCAGAAAAGCTAACCGACTTTCATTTTTCTGCTAACAAATAAAACCGAAATATATATTCCTGAAGCATGATTCTCGGAATATAGTTTCGGGCTGAACATTTCATTTTAAAATTCGTGTATTTTATAAGGAAGAAATTCAGTGAACCATGAATTCTTTCGAGTTTCACGTTCGAACGGCAAAAAAGGCGCGAAATTCAAAATTTGCACTTGAAGCAGCGTCGTTTACATAATTCGCGGTCACTCTGCAGATTTTCTTGTGAAATTTGTTATTTGTTAGGTCCTGCCATTTGATATTTATTTAAGGTTATATTTGTAATTTGTTATAGGTTTTGATATTTGATAAGCATAAAAGGTTCTGTTCTTTGTTAAGGATTCTGTTATTTGTTATTCTCCGATAAGACTGGTTTCAACCGCAGCACCGAGGGTTGTATGCATCGAGAACACCGTCTGAGAACTGTTATGTTCTTGTTAAGTTTTCAGATCACGAAAAACATCAAATTTGATATTTGCTATGTGAAGCAGTGACATATTTATATACTTTACTATTCATACATATATATATTTTACACAAAGGCTAGATTGATGTCTGGTGCCTAGATATGCATGATATTTGCATGAATTTAATGAATAAGTGAAAAGGTGATAGTTATAAACAGGTAAAGTTATGGATAAATGTTTTGATATATAACAGTTGATAAAATTCGAGGCGAAACACCTGCTCGCAAGTCCTAATACTTACATGAGTGTACCCAACTGTGTGTGTGTGTGTGTGTGTGTGTGTGTGTGTGTGTGTGTGTGTGTGTGTGTGTGTGTGTGGTGTGTGTGGTGTGCATCGTGCAACCTCCATCGTAATACATCATTGATATATATTTTTTTATAATCCATATATTATGGTGACAAAGAGTTTGGAATTATAATTACAGCAATTATAACTGAATTTTACATCATGACTGCATTCACTATCCCAATTCATAAATAAATCGAAAACACAACATACCTCGCATACATACCCCCCCCCCCCACACTCTCTCCACGCCACACGCGCAAACATATACGTAAATCAAGAACTATAAAGAAATTCCAATTTGCCATTTAATTTATTTTCGTAGAGAATGGCCGTGTGAGAGAGGGAGAGAGAGAGGGGGGGGGGGTGAGAGGAGGGAATGAGAGGGAGAGGAAAGCAGAAGAGAGAGAGAGAGAGAGAGAGAGAGAGAGAGAGAGAGAGAGAGAGAGAGAGAGGACCCGGAGAGAGAGAGAGAGAGAGAAAGAAGAGAAGAGAGAGCCGAGAGAGAGAAAGAGAAAGAGACCGAGAGAGAGAAAGAGAGAGAGAGGAGAGAGAGAGAGAGAGAGGAGAGAGAGAGAGAGAGAGAAGAGAGAAGGAGAGAGAGAGAGAGAGAGAGACCGATGAGAGAGATAGAGCGGACTAGGTAGCACAAGTCCCTCCTTTAACCTGAGCCCTCCCTCGGAGGCAAGAGGCTCCTTTCTGGAGGAGAAAGAGGCTCCTTTCGTGAGGATGAAAGAATGAGTAATTTTGACGGCTTTTTATAAGATGAAAGTGGAAGAAGGAAAGAAAGAAAACATCACTTTACTTGATTATGGGTGAAATAGGAAAGGAAGTTTATACATGTGTATGTGTGTGTGTGTATATAAACTTGTATATATATTGTATGTGTATTATATATATATATATATATATATATATATATATATAAATATATTATACTATATATATATATATGCGTGTGCGCGCGCGCGTGTGTATGAGTGTGTGTAATGTATATTGTGTTATAATTGTGTGTATATAATGCGTGTAATATACACATATGTAATATATACATTTAATATATATATATATATATGTATTTTATATATGTATAATATATTATTAGATATGTATATATATATATATATATACATATATGTATATGTATATGTATATATATAATATATATATATATGTAATATATGTATATATATATAATGTATATGTATAATATAAGTATATGTGTATATATATGTGTAAATATATGTGTATGCTGTGTATATGTATATATAATGTAAATATATATGTATATGTTGTATATGTATATATATGTATGTGTATATATGTATATACATGTGGTATACATATGTAATGTATATATATGTATATGTATATGTATTATATATATATGTATATATATATATATATATATATATGTATATATTATTATATTATGTAATATATATTATATGTATAGTATATATATATGTATAATTATATATATATATGTATATGTATATATATTATATATATATTATATATATATATTAAATATATATAATATATATATATATATTTATATATATATATATATATATATATATAATATATATATATATATATATATATATATATATATATATATATACATATATATATATATATATATATATATATATATTATAATATATATATATATATATAATAATATATATATATATATATATATATATATTATAATATAATATATATATATATACATATATATATATATATATATATATATATATATATATATATAATATATATATATATATATATATATATATATATATATAGTGTGTATATATATATATAATTAATATATATATATATATATATATATATATATATGTGTATGTGTATGCATGTATGTGTGTGTGTGTGTGTGTAGTGTATTTACGTATGGAAATTATATCATTATATGCATATCTAGCTACATGCACAATACCCTTTGCTTAAATCTAATATTCAGAATACCCAATGTCGGAGTGACAGCTTCCGATCCGTTGCCTGCCCGCCCGCCCGCCCTAACCGAGTCTCGCCTTTGCAGTCATCATCGAGAACCTGGCGAGACTTCATTCCAAGACGCAGAGTGCACCGAGAGACCGTGAGAGCGAGACTGAAGTTGCTCTTGAGGACGAGACCACAACGAGAGAAGCTTCGAGAACCAGAAGGGCGGCCTGAGAACTTTGGCGTTAAGCTGATTTGATTTGATTATTGGATATAATTACTCGAGATATGTTTTGAATTCTTGGTTGAGAGGATGAGTGCGTGAGGAAAGGGTTTCTTGTTGTTTGGTTGGTTGCTGTGTGTGCTCTTTCTCTTTTCCTCGATTCTCTCACTGTTATTGTTTGATTCTATTTCATTTCTTGTTCTTTTCTATTCTCTGATCTCTTCGTTCATTCGCATTCTGTATATATTCTTCCCATGTACATCTTTCATTAAAAAATTTCCTTATTTTGAAGGAAAAAAAATTAAGCGTCACTGGAACTCCCAGATGACAAAAGCTAATCAGTATTGACGGAAACTTTCTCGCGATTGTCTCCAAACTTCCTGCATTTTGAGTGGATCTGAGACCTATTCCATAGACGTGGGACTCATTTGCATTACGTGGGGAAAATAACCTACGACAAAATCTATTTATTCCTTAGTTTAAATAAAAAATAACACGAAATGCAGGACGTCGAATAGCGGCGCTTCCTCTCCGAACGGCAGGAGCTTCGGCGCCGGTGAAGGACATAGGCCTACGGTACTCTAACCTGGCTTGAAACTCTGTCAGTGTTCTGTAATTTTTTAAATACAGTAGAGGGTTTCTCATCACATCACTCTTAGATTTTTCATGTTAGTCATCGATGTCTCATACGCAAGATTTTGACGAAAGATTATGAAACGAAGAATAAGAAAAAAAGACTCGTTTGCTCATCCATTTTGATATAACCTATAAAGTGCTGAACATACTTGTCCGGGTGAGACTATGGGAGGGATCATGTTTATATAAAAAACTTTTATAAATCCTACACTAAATGTAATCAGTCACACAAAAGAAAATCAATTTGTTGTTAAACAAAGAGCTAAAGAAAACAAATAGGAAAATCAAGGATTATAATCATTATCCCTTTCCAGGCCACGAAGGCGTATGTCAGAAAATGTCAGACATTATATTTTCATGTGTATAGCGACTTGCCCCCCCCCTCTTTTTTCTGGTGCTAAATGGCGCAAGCGGACTTGAAGTTCCATTAGAAGTTTCATTAGAAATAAGACAAAATAAGAAAAGAAAAAAAACTTAAGGTTCGCACGAGGAAATTATCGCGCAGTTGTTCAAGGAGAACATTTCTGTGATTTCATTAACAGCCATTCTTCACTCCGGGACTGTGGGATTATTGAACTAGTAGTAGCGTTGCACAAATCTTACGAGATCCTACTTAGAAATAGACAAACATGTGTTTCCTTGACACTAATGAGTTAAATAGTTTTCTGGTTCACTGTTCTCCCGCAGCAATGATTGTAATTTAGTCTTTGTTTTTATTTTTTTTTCCTTTTTATACCGCTTTAACTCTAGGGTTTGCTAGATCATTACCAATCAGATAATAACCAGTGCGAGCTACTGAAATACTGCAGGCTGTTATAGGCCTACAAATATTTCTTTAAAAAACGTCGTTATACATCTTTTATTTAACACGTTTTTGGGACTTTGAGAAACCATCAAGGTAGTTCAGACAGGCAGATAACGACCAAGATCAATAGTAAATAGCAAATCTCTCTGGATATTTTATTTCCGTTAGACCCAACCCAAAAACTGGCTTGAGGTCTTCTGCTGTCTGCTCTCTCTCACAAAAGTTAAAAGTCGCAGTTTACAGTGTTCAGTAGCATCCTAATTTTGTGTACAATTGCCAAGACAGCAAAGGAAGATGTTATGTTTATGGATAATTTTCAGTATGGAAATATACATAGGTGTGCATATATGTGTGTAATGTATGTACGTATATACCTATACCCTATGTATATATACACAAGCATATGCATGTATATGTTCAGCAGTGGTTAATTTACAGGCTGTGACCTGAATGTTGTACAATGTTACTTAATGCTAAGTTTTCATATTACGTATAAGCATATGTATGTATGTATATATGTATATTTATATTTATATATATATACTTATGTATGTATATGTATAAACAGTCCTTCCTGCCTAATATTTTCCACTCACTATGGATAATCCAAATTCCAGCATTGGATAGGTTACCCACAGAAACCACCAACCGTGTATCTAGGGACAGAACCTAACGCCGCCTTCCCATTCTAGAAATCTAGCATGAACGCAAACTCCTTCCGTAACTCTAATTCTTGTTCCATCTTCCGGAATCCAATATTAGACGGCACCTTCTCCAAGGGATACTTTCATCTCGGACATGGCATTGCGCACGCACACTGAATGTATTCGAGATTTTCGTGAATCGGTTTGTTTTTGTTTTTGTTTCCGTGTGACTTGGCGCAAGCTAGGAAGAACCCAATTTTTATTCGTGTAGTGTTTTGGGATTTTTTTTTAATGCGTTTGCACTTTATTAATTCTTATTAAGCTAGGAATAGTTATTTTGATTTGTGATTCATTGCCTTAGAGTTCATTATTAGGCATCTAATCACAATACGATTATTTGAAGCGTGCAAAATATACCTATTAAATCATATTTGATATTTCTCAAGAAAAAACATAGTACCTAATATATCTCTTTCCTCCTTTTCTAGTTATTAGGTTTAAAAAATAAAGTTGAAGTACATTCAATGGCTTTCATATTCTATTAAGATATTTCATATGTTGTAGACTGTCACATAAGTTTAATTGTTAACAGCCTTTTATTTTAAACAATTTTGTAAATGTGTGCTGAATAAACAGTATGAAACTATTGCTGTGCTTTCTTTCCCAATGATATTCAGACAATTAGGTACAGAAAATTATGCTCATGACAGTACAATAATAAGTGAATAAAATATAAATGGAAATGTAAAACAGATGCACAAAAATGGAAACAAGTCATATAAACTTACACTTGCCAAGACTGAACTAAGGCATGAAAATAATAGATAAAATATTATGATAATGGTGATTATCCTAATTATAATAACGAGAATAATCTAAAATGAAAAGAGAAGACATGCAACGGAATGGTAAGGTTAAAAAGATAAATATGCAAATAAGCAATATATTCATCAAACAACTTGAATTCACACGGAAATTTCAGCATACACTAACGAGCATAAAAAATATATATTTGAAAATATTAAAACGTTCGCCCTACGTACATTCATAAAAGAATCATATAGGCTTAAAGACTAGTTCATAAAAAACAATGTTGATAAGATCCAACGGATGTGGTGTAATTACAGATCAAATGTAATATAGAATAATAAAAATAAAATAAATATATAATAAAAACAAAGAAATTGACAAGGAATACAAATGTAAAAAAGATAAACGAATGTAAACGAATTCTGGAAGTTCCTGAGGAAGACCACAGATGGCTCTGAGTTCCCTCGGTGAATTCGTAATACCGATGCATATTTTACATTAGCAATTACGACCCTCTTCTGCCACCCCCATCGTAGGAAAATACCCAAGGGGAATGGGGTCTGGGAGCTCGCCCAGAGTAAATGCCCTTGGGGTCTGGGGGGGGGGGTCAGGGGTTTGGATCCAGTAGGGAGTAAGGAAGGTGGGTCTCCCCCCCCTCCCTTCAACCCAAGGAGCAAATGAGGAAGGTAAGAGAAAAAAAAAGAAATAGGGACGTGGATGACAAGTTATACGTTTGAAAAACACAGAGCATATTTAAGAATTCTCATAGAGAAAAAATTAATGGGGTGCGTACTACCACGTCAGGATAGGCCTATTTACACTAAATACAAAATTCTCTTTCGGTTTATCTAGCCTTTAATACCCATTTTCTATTATGGTCCACCACAGAAAACGAAAATGTTAAAGGGTAACTATTTTAAATCTAAGTTAAATCCATATCCATGCTTTAATAGTTAAGTATACTTTGGAAAGAAATCTTTTGAAAAAGCTATTTTCAAGATTCTCCTGGTGAAAGAGGAAGAGTTCCTAAGAGAGATGAGAGAGATTGAAGAGAGAAAGATGAATGAGAGAAATATACGAGAGAAGAGAGAGAGAGAGAGAGAGAGAGAGAAGAGAGAGAGAAATAGAAAAGAGAGAGGATACAAGATAGAGAGAAGAAAAGAGAGGAGAGAGAGAGAAGAAAGAGAAAAGAGAGAGAGAAATACATATACATATCCATTATCTCCATTTGTGGTTCTCAACTTCTCGGCGAAGGCAACCGTCAGCGGCTCCCTCTTCTTTAATCCCCGACCCCTGTCTCTCACACGACGCATCTTCGGCTGTTCCGCGAATTGCTGGAGCTCGAAACAAAAGCAACCCGGGTTATGTGCTCCGGTGAAAAGAAATGAGAGAAAAAAAACTTTCCGGAAGAATGAGAACGATGTAAAATGTAAATACAAAATCTATCTTACTAGCGGCGCCCAATTTGAGAACTACTATACTCGTACTAGGATCATGTACCTTTTATATTATACATGTGTAATATGTGTGTGTGTGTGTGTGTGTGTGTTGTGTGTGTGTGTGTGTGTGTGTGTGTGTGTGTGTGTGTGTGTGTGTGTGTGTGTGCGTGTGTGTGCATTCACATATTACATACATATATAATTTTCCTTTAATCAAAAAGGCAAAAATCAGATCTAAGCACAGACATGCACCCCCCACACTCGGACGAACACAGCCCGAGAAACAAAGGGCTTCACTCGAGCGCAGCGGCAAATGCGGCGAAACGCGTTCTTCTAATGCCGTTCGCGCTGTCTGCTTCATGCGATAGGTATTATGCGAACTCATCAAGCATCTCGTTAGCAGGTAAGGAGGCTTCCGGGGCTGCAAATTGTCCTATATTTTGCAGGAAATGAAGAGGCGCACGTGCTTGCATCCGCAGCCCTGGTTGAATTAATTAGAGGCCTTTATCAACCTTGGCGTGTGCGAGTTAGGAGCTCGGGTTGTGGGTGAGGAGGCGCGCCGCTTCGTGTTCCCTCGCGCTTCGCTTCGCTTGAGATTTTTTCATTTTTTTATTCGGGATTCGTCTGTTTTTGGATTCTGATTCTTGGTTTTCGTTTCCATTATCTATTTTATTTATTATTATTTTGTTTTGTCTTTGTAAAGTGTGTCTCTCCGATGTAGCATAATTTTGTCTGTTTTATGTCCCTTCGTTTCTCTCTCTCTCTCTTCCCTTTCGTGTTTCATTTGCTTCATGATTCCGTTTGTTTATTTTGTAATGTCTCAGCTATTAATGAATACAATTGTTCTCGTTACACTTTTTAATTTGGTGGGTCTTTAAATCAACTTGTGTCTATCTGTTCATGAATTTGGTTGTCTGCATCACAAGTTGCTAAACGTTTACAAGTTTTTACAAGTTGCTAAACGTTTTTTACAAGTTGCTAAACGTTTTTTTTTAAAACGAAGTTTTGAAGTTTGAGAGCGTTGACCCTCGCAACCATTAAAGGGGCACTGAATATAAAATCATGATACAGGAGCACTAGTTACAGATAACTATACCGGATGTTTGGAAACGCAACCAATTCATGACTCTATTGATATCAGAGCCGCCTTTGTCGGGGTACCAAAGCGACGAGAGCTTAACGTGTACATTGAAATACTCTTGGTATGTATGGGAAGGAGAGAGGGAAGGGGAGAGAGGAGGGAGGGAGAGAGAGGAGGGAGGAGGGAGGAAGAGAGAGAGAGAGAGAGAGGGAGTGAGAAGGAGTGAGAGAAGGAGGGAGGAGAGAGAGAGAGGGGTGGAGGAGGGAAGGAGAAAGAGTAGAGGAGGGAGGAGGGAAGGAGAGAAGAGTAGAGAGGGCAGGAGAAGAGTAAGAGAAGGAGAAAGTAGAGAGGGCAGGAGGAAGAGAAAGAGTAGAAGGAGGAGGGAAGGAGAAAGAGTAGAGAGGGCAGGAGGGAAGGAGAAAGAGTAGAGAGGCAGGAGGAAGAGTAGAAGGGAGGGTAAGAGTAGAGAGGGCAGGAGGGAAGGAGAAAGAGTAGAGAGGAGGAAGGAGAAGAGTAGAGAGGGCAGGAGGGAAGGAGAAAGAGTAGAGAGGGCAGGAGGGAAGGAGAAAGAGTAGAGAGGGCAGGAGGGAAGGAGAAAGAGTAGAGAGGAGGAGGGAAGGAGAAAGAGTAGAGAGGCCCTCCGTAACTTTACCACCAAGGGCTTCGCTCCGCCAGCCCGAAAATCAAAGGCTGTCGGCATTTCTATCCTGACGTATTTCCTTGCAATAATAATGCCTTCTCGAACCCAGAAATCCCGAGCTTTGTGATGCTGTAGGGAACTTAACCCGAGAAAATGCATATCCTTTCGTTTTTTCCTTTTTCCTTTTTTCTTTCTTTCTTTTCTGTTTCCTTAAGAGAAGTGATCTTATCTTTCGGAAGTTGTATTTAGCGAATAAAAAGGCGGGGAAGGGAAGAAGACGCAGCGAGAAAATAAATGAGAATAGATAAAGACCAGGAATTCAAAAAAAAGGTGAAAGGAGATAAAAGAAAAAGCCGGAAGAGAAAGAGAAAGTGGAGGAAAGCGAAAGAAAGAGAGAAGTGGTGGAAGAGGAGGGGGGGGGGGTGTTTACCTTCCCTCAGAGCAAGATTCAGAGTTGGATTCGCGTTAAAGGCGATCTCCGCTTACCAAATTTAAGACTTTGGACCATGCTGAAGACACGGGAGAAGAATAACGGAGGAAGAAGATATGACAACGAATGAGGAAGAAATAACAATGGATAACGAAGGAAGAAACCGAAGCGACGAATGAATTACGGTTGAGAAGGAAGAAATAACGAGCAACGAAAACGGAGGAATAAATAACTATGAATAAAGAAGGAAGAAATGGGAATAAACAACGAGGGAGGATGAAGAAGATAACAATAACGAAGACGAAAGAAATAACGAAAAACAGGAAAGAAATGATTAACAACCAAACGAAAAAAAACAACAACCGATAACGAGAGAGGAAGAACGAAATAAATAATAATGACAATAAAAACGAAAACCCAGTCAGGAGGTTAAAAATAGCGAGTTAAAATAGGCAAGAGTGAAAAATGGAACAGCCACGGCCTTAGTCACAAACAGATCGAGGTGTCAATATTACACGCCATCGCTATTAGCACGTCCATTTGGGGCGGTGGCGGCGAGCAGACCTAGGTGGCGGTTGGGCGTGGTGGGGTGGCAGAGGGAGGGTTTTGGCGGGTGGTGGTGAGAGGGAAAGGGAGAGAAAAGGGAGAGGGAGAGGGAGAGGGGAGGGAGAGGAGGGGGGAGGGAGAGAGGGGGAAGGGAGGGAAGGGAGAGAGAGGGGGGGAAGGGAAGGGAGAGAGAGGGGGAAGGTGAAGGGAGATAGGGGGGGAGGGAGGGAGAGAGGGGGGAAGGGAGGGAGAGAGGGAAAGAAGGAGGAGAGGGAAGGGAGGAGAGGGGAAGGAAGGGAGAGGGTGGGAAGGGAAGGGAGGGAGAGAGGGGGAAGGGAAGGAGGAGGAGAGAAGGGGGAAGAAGGGAGAAGAGAGGAAGGGGAAGGGAGGGGAAGGGGGGAAGGGAGGAGAGAGGGGAAGGGAGGGAAAAAAGAGAAGGACGGGAGAAAGACGCGGGGTGGTGGTGGCAGAGGTGAGCGGTTTTGGTGTGAGTGGTGGTGATGTAGGGAATGAAGGGGTTGAGAGTTGGTGGAAGGTTAGTGGATGGGAGAGGGATAGGGAGGGAGAGGGGGGTGGTAGGGAGGGAGGGAGAGGGAAGGGAGAGAGGGAAGGGAAAGGGAAGAGAGGGGGGAAGGGAGGGAGAGAGGGGGAAGGGAGGGAGAGAGGGGGGAGAGGAGAGAGGGGGGAAGGGA